GAAGGCAGACGCTTAACCGACTGAGCCACCCAGGCGCCCCTATCCTAGATATTCTTATCATAATTTGCACGGATGCGACTGTCATATCTCTTTCTTATCTCCTACTGAACTCCTCTGCATTCACTCTGGTCCAAACTCACTGACTTCATTTTCGCTTTTCAAAAATACTAAGCATGGTCCCACCTCAAGGCCTTGGCATTTAGCCTTAGAACAGGCTTTCCGCAGATATTTCAAATTGCATTTCCATTCAGAATTCCATCAAATTTCCATTCAGTTCTCTACTCTCATTTCACCTCATCAGAGAGAACTTCTAGCAATCTGTCACCCCTTCCTGCCAGTTTCTAGCCTCCTACCCTATGTTACTTTTCTTCAGGGAACTTATTAACATGTGACACACTATTAATAAGAGTGTTTGATTTGGTTACTGTTTATTTTCTTTCTCTTTGTACCAGAATAGAGGCTTCCTGAGAGCAGGATTTTTATGTTATTCATTCTTTATTGCTAAACCTAGAACTGTAATGGGAACATTGAAGTTGGCAGGTAACTTTTTTTCTTTTTTTGGTAATAAATGAATGAGAAACTGAGGATGGCAGCAATTCAACTTGCTGATGAATTGGAGGTCAAATATGAGAATAACAGAGGGATACAGGAGGACTCCAAGATTTTACTCCTTAGCAACAAAGTTGGTGGGAGCTCCATTCACTGAGATGTGAATCAGGGGAGAGGAGGAGCTTGGAGGAAACATCAGGTGTTTTGGTTGGAAAGATTAACTTTCATTGTTTGAATTTAGTTTAAGGACAACTAAGGCAGAAGAGCGAAATATAAGTACTCTTCTTTGAAGGTGGTTTGAAAGAGGCTTAGTAGTAGGAGAAAGAGGCTGAGCATAGTGGTGTTCTAGAGCCAGCTCATACCAGCTTAAGAGAGCTGATTTATGGGGCACCCGGGTGGCTCAGTCATTGGGCATCTGCCTTCGGCTCGGGTCATGATCCCAGGGTCCTGGGATCGAGCACGGCATCGGGCTCCCTGCTCCTTGGGAGCCTGCTTCTCCCTCTGTTTCTCTCTCTCTCTCTCTGTCTGTCATGAATAAATAAATAAAATCTTAAAAAAAAAATAAAATAAAAAAGATACCATCTATAAGTTTCAAAAAATATAATCTGACAAAAAGTATGCAAGACCTTCATGGAGAAAATAATAAAATCTTAATGAAAGACATTTAAAAACTGAATTGAGATTATACCATGTTAGAATGGGTAAAACCTCAGTATTGTAAAGACGCTGATTCTCACTCAACTGTCCATATAGAAGGAATGGACTCCCAATAAAAAGACCAACAGAATTTTTGTGAAACTTGGCAAGCAAATTCTAAAATGAATATGAATGTACACAAAAAAAAAAATTCCAAGAATAGCCAAAACATTCTTGAAGGACCAGGTAGGAGAAATTGCTCTAGGAGATATCAAAACACTATAAAACTACATTAATTAAGATAGTGTGGCATTGGCACAGAAACCACCCAATGAAACAGAATTAAGTGCCCAGAAACAGAGCAATGTATAGATGGATGCTTGATAATATGCCAGGGGTGATATTGCAGATTGATAGGGAAAAGGAAATATTTTCTTTTTCTTCTTTTTTTAAAGATTTTAATTATTTATTTGACAGAGAGAGACACAGCGAGAGAAGGAACACAAGCAAGGGGAGCGAGAGAGGGAGAAGCAGGCTTTCCGTCTAGCATGGAGCCCAATGCGGGGCTGGATCCCAGGATTCTGGGATCATGACCCGAGTCGAAGGTAGATGCTTAACTACTAAGCCACCCAGGTGCCCGGAAAAGGAAATATTTTCAATGAATGATGCTAGATGCTGAGATAACAGATTTCCAACCCTCTTCTTTTTCACTTGGAAAACTTCTACTCATTCTTTAAGACCCAGCTCAAATTACAGACCCTCTGTGAATCCTTACCTGAAGATAAGAGAGTACACATACTACATGATTCCATTTAAATGAAGTTTTAGGACAAAAACTAGGTGAAAAAAATCAGAGCAGTGGTAGTTGGGGAAATGGGGTGGAAAGACTTTCCCACATGGGAAAAAATGGAACGAGATGCCTACCTCACACCATTCATTAAAAAAACCAAAAATTTAAATAACCATATAGATATGACAGGTAAAACTATAAAACCCTTAGAAGATAATATAGGAAAATATCCTAATGATCTTAGGATAGGGAAAATTTTTCTAAGACACAAAGAAACATACCATCAAGAAAAGACTGATAAATTCATCTACATTAAGAACTCTATTGAGACACTGTAGAGAGAGGTGGGGGGAAAAAACCAAGGTAAAACTGGAGGAGGTGTAGAAAGAGTTACCATCCGGAATACATAAAGAATATCTATAAATCAGTAAGGAAAAAGACAAATGATCCATTGGAAAAAATTAATCAAAAGACTGAACAGGCACTTCCCAGAAGATGAAACCTGAATAGTTAAATATTTGAAAAGATGCTCAACCTCATTAGTAATGAGAAAAGTAAAATATAACAAACTTTTCCACACCTGATTAACAAAACATAAAAAGTTTTTGAAAATATCCAACCTTGGTGAGAATGCAGAGCAAAAGGAATATTAACCACAGTTGGTCAAGTATAAATTGGTACAACCTCTTCAGAAAACTAGTGTACTTGAACACTGTCACACCCTACAACTCAGCAATTCCATTTAAAGACATTTCTAGGCATCCTAGGGCACTGGTTCTCAACCTAGGGTGATTTTGCTCCCCAAGGGACATTTGGCAATAAAGAAAAACATTTTTAGTTGTCACAATTGGGGATGTCACTGGCATCCAATGGGTTAAGAGGCCAGGGATGCTGCTGAACATCCTACAAAGGACAGGACAGCCTCCTACAACAAAGATTTATTCCACCCAAAATGTCAATAGTCCCAAGACTGAGAAACCTTGCCCTAGAGAAACAAAACTTAATCATTATAACTCCCATGTATTAACTGGTTCTAACTCATTTCCCTGTCAACCAGGTTTCCTTTGATCCATCCTTTACAATTAAATCTAAGTAGTTTTCCCTAAAAGTAGAAAATACTGTCAACTTTCTTTGAAAGACCTCTATTAGCATCACATTACTGGGTCACTGACACTTACATAGGCCTAGCAATCACTTGGAGAACAACAAAAAATAACATGCCATGGCTCCTTCCCCAGAAAAACCTGATTCAAGAAGTCTGGGGAGGCACTCAATGATTCATTTTTTATTAATCACACAAGTACTTTCAATGCAGGTTGTTCAGGGGCCACTCTTTAAGAAAGAATGATGTTTACAAATAATAGGTTTAAATATGTAAACAGAGGCATACAAAGGCAGCTCCCAACTTTCTTTGCTAGTTTCATTTTCTTCACTGCTGTCCATCTCATACGCACTGTTCCCAGGACACTCTACCAAACTTTTAAAGAATCTCTGCATTGAATGCTGTCTCCAAACCCTTCTCTTTTTCACCTGGAAAATTTCTACTTTTTTTAAGACCCAGCTCAAATTACAGACCCCCTATGAATCCTTACCTGAATACCTTAGACAATTAGTTACTCTCTCCTTAGTGCCTCCACAATACTCTAACCATATCTCAATCGCTATACTTACTATACTATATACTAATATACTATATGTAAATTATCTGTTTACATGTCTGTCTCACCCACCAGACCCTGTTGAGAGAAACTGAGGAGTATGTGTACATAGTCAACAGCTACTGCATGATCTGGTCTTGAATACCCCAAACACTTGTCTCTTTACCACTTTATCTCGAAGATACAAGACATTTCTTTTTTTTTTT